GGGAGGGAGTTGTGGAGGGGGTTTGAGGGGTTTAGAGGGGATTTCAGGGCATTGGAGGGGGATTTGGAAGAGTTGGGGGGGTCTAGGGAGGGATTGAAGGACTTGGGAGTGTGGAGAAAGGTTGGAAGGGAGTTTTAAAGGATTTTGAAGGGTTTGGAAGGTTGGTAGGTGGTTGGGGGGACCTAGAGGGGATTTTGGGGGTTTGGAGGGGTTGGGGTCTAGAGAGGGTTTGGGGGACTTGGGAGGCAGTGTGGAGAGGGTTTGGAGAGGTTGGGAAGGCTGGAAGTGGTTTGGAGGGTTGGAGGCAGATTTGGGGTTGGGAGTAGGGACTGTTTTGGGGGGCTTGAGAGGGAGTTTGAAGGTTATGGAGGGGATTTCAGGGTGCTGGAGTGGGAATTGGATTTGGGGGTCTAAGGAGACGCTGGGGGCTGGGAAGGGAGTGTGGAGGGAGGTTGGCATGGGCTGAAAGGGATTTGGAAGGGTTGGGAAGATCAGAGGGGGTTTAGGGGTTTGCAGGGGATTTGGGGTGTTGGAAAGGGAGGTTTGGAGTTTATGAAGGGTTTGGAGGAAGTTGAAGAAGTTGAGGGGATTTTAAGGTTTAGGGGGTGTCAGAGTGGAAGAGGTTTTGGAGTGAATTTCCTGGGACGGGGGTCATTTGGGGGACTTGGAGGCAAATGAGGGAGTTGGTGTAGGAGGGGAAATGGGAGTTAAGGGAATGTTTAGGATCGGTTGGAAGAGGGGTTTGGGGAGGTGGAGGGGGTTTGGAGGGGCATTGGCATTGGAGGGGATTTAGGGGAGCTTGGAGGGGGTGGGAAAGACTTGGAAAGGAAGGTTAGAAGTTTTGGGAAGGGTTGGAGAGGTTGAAGTGGTCTTTGGGGCACAGGGGCTTGGAGGGGACTTGGAGAGGATTTAGGGCCACTTGTGGGCATTGGCAGGGAGGATGGGGGAGTTGGGGGGCAAAGATTGGAGTTTTGGGAAGGTTGGGGATGTTGGGGAGGACTGGAGGGGGTTGACGGAAATTTGCAGGGTTGGGGAGGATTTGGGGGCCTGGGAGGCACTGGGGCTACTGCCTGCCCTGGGAGCGAGGTCTGGAGAGCTCCAAGACACCAAGGGGCAAAACCCTGAGACCCGGGCAGGGGGATCTGTGCCCCTGATGGGCTCTGTGCCCCTGGTAGGCTCTGTGCCCCTGATGGGCTCTGTGCCCTGATGAGGGGTCTGTGCCCCTGATGGGCTCTGTGCCCCTGGTGGGCTCTGTGCCCCTGATGGGCTCTGTGCCCCTGGTAGGCTCTGTGCCCCTGATGGGCTCTGTGCCCTGATGAGGGGTCTGTGCCCTCGTGGTGTCTCTGCCTGTGAGAGGGGAACTGGGGCTCACACAGGAGTGCTCCAGGCTGCAGACAGAGGGGTCCGTGCCCCGGGCAGGGCGGTCTGTGGGTCCGTGTGTGTCCCGGGCAGGGCGGTCTGCGGGGTCTCTGTGGGTCTGTGTTCCAGGCAGGGCGGTCTGCGGGGTCTCTGTGGGTCCGTGTCCCGGGCAGGG